TATCAAAATAGCGGCCAAAACGGTGGGCAGAAATAAAGAAAATGACGAAGGCCAAACACCACTTCAACCGACCAACTACTTGCTATTTTCAGCACATATTCAACTGCGTTCCCGAATCTGCCGATACAAACTACAAGCCCACAACAGCCTGGTTGGACTCAGCCCAACCACTGCCTCTGACATCATCAATTACCACCAACGAATCCCTCAAGTTCAAATCCTCACATAGAAGGAATACAGTGAACACATACGGGATACATAGACGCGATAAAGCACCTAAATTATTGAGATCGACTCAAAGCTCTACAAATGTACTCACTAGAAAGGAGACGAGAGAGATACCAAATAATATACACGTGGAAAATACTAGAGGGCCTGATACCTGGTTGATACCTGGTTGATGGGGTTCTGGGAGTTCTTCTACTCCCCAAGCCCGGCCCGAGGCCAGGCTCGACTTGTGAGAGTTTGGTCCACCAGGCTGTTGCTTGGAGCGGCCCGCAGGGCCACGTACCCACCACAGCCCGGCTGATCCGGAACTTCTCTTAGAAAACCGTCCAGTTTTCTCTTGAAGATGTCCACGGTTGTTCCGGCAATATTTCTTATGCTCGCTGGGAGGACGTTGAACAACCGCGGACCCCTGATGTTTATACAGTGCTCTCTGATTGTGCCTATGGCACCTATGCTCTTCACTGGTTCAATCTTGCATTTTCTTCCATATCGTTCACTCCAGTACGTTGTTATTTTACTGTGTAGATTTGGGACCTGACCCTCCAGTATTTTCCATGTGTATATTATTTGGTATCTCTCTCGTCTCCTTTCTAGAGAGTACATTTGGAGAGCTTCATTTGGAGCCTCATTTGGCCAGGTCCCAAATCTACACAGTAAAATAACAACATACTGGAGACCACTCCAGACCGACAACCAGAGCGCAACTCCATAGTCTCCTGAGACTGATGGATGCCTACCACTACCCAGCTCACCCAATGGGTGTCTTGGATGTACCTGCATTCGTACCCTTAGCCAGCCTTTTCCTAGCTGAGCTTGTAGTCTCTTAAAGGTCTTTCTAAGGCTATCTATAGCCGAGACTCTAGTTTACTATAGACCGGACTCTACCTCTATATATAGTCCAGGCTCTATTTAGCCGTTCCATTCATCAGTGTCACAGTGTCCAAATCAGGCCGCATGAACGAAATGTCTGCTATGGAATTTATACGAATCATCCTCGATTAGTTCGGCGAGGTTTTGTCTCCACTAAACCGGTTTAAATTAGACGCAGGTCAGCTGGCGAGACAGATGGTTGAGTCAGTTGGTTCAGAGTGGTTGAAAGCGGTTTGGTGAGAAGGAAGTTGCTAACGAGGCTTGAATAGGGGTTTGGAGGAAAAAAGGGGGGGGGGGTTGGAGGAAAAGGGGGGGGGGATTAGAGAGGGGGGGGAGTATCACCCCCACTCTCACAATGTTCAAGAGAGAACTCGATAAACACCTCCAAATGGTACCTGATCAACCAGGCTGTGATTCATAGCGTCAGGCTGCGAGTAGCCGCGTCCAACAGCCTGGTTGACCTGACTAGCAACCAGGAGGCATGATCGGGGACCGGGCCGCGGGGACGTCGAGCCCCGAAATCATCGCAAAGTAACAGGGAAGCCGCTAACAACGCTGCCACTCCGTAGCAAATTGCAACGGTTTTGCCAAACAGGAAAGGTGTGACATCTCACAATCCAGCCATGTAATACAAAATAATAGAAATTAGTGTTTAAAGTTTCAAAGAGAGAAAGAGAGAGAGAGAGAGAGAGAGAGAGAGAGAGAGAGAGAGAGAGAGAGAGAGAGAGAGAGAGAGAGAGAGAGAGAGAGAGAGAGAGAGAGAGAGAGAGAGAGAGAGAGAGAGAAATATTCTGCTTAATTTGTAAATGTTTAACAGAGGTCAGCGTTGTTCTAACTGCCCAGTGAGCACCAATGACCTATTTACCCTTACATGTAATACTTGACCCCCTATGACCCAGCTTATAGACTTCGTAGTCCACCCTTGACCTCATACTTGGGGGAACTAACCCCTCGACCTCCATCAGCCAAGGTTCCTGGAGGAGTAGTGACATCAGAGCCTGCTGACCCAACTGCCAGAGGCCGCTACTCATTGTCTCAGCCCAGGTCGGCCAGAACTGAAGACGTTTCTCAAGTCATCTTGAGAACAATATAAACATCAGAGATCTGCCCGCTGTGTTCTGTTTGTAGGGTAGAGAAGAGGGAGGGGGAATTATCAAGGCTGAAAACGCCAAGCCACTACGACTACATAGCACTTGGAAGGGTCAGGATAAGGATTTGGGATGGGACGGGGGGGGGGGGGGGAAGGAATGATGCCCCAACCACTTATGGACGGTCGGGGATTGAACGCCGACCTGCATGAAGGTGGAGAAGGGTGGAGAAAGAGTGTTCAAACTTATGCCTCATTCAAAGGTAGAGGCATAAGAATTATACATTGATATATATTTATATATATGTCTGCCACTACAACCATCATCAACAGCCTACACCTGTCCCCCCCCCTAGTATACCACTATCCTACACCCCAGAACACCCCCCATCCCACCCCTCATGTTTACGAACCCCGGACCCCTAAACTCAGGAAAACATCTGAGGGACGAGGGAGCTTCATCCTCATATCTGGCGGCTGCTGTGTTAATGTTGCTCCCCTGCTCCCGGGGCCTCTGATTTACACCCCCAGATATACGAGTGGGTGGGAGGGGTGAGAGGGTGGGGGAGTGGGGTGAGAGGGAAGGGACAGTGGGGTGAGAGGGAAGGGACAGTGGGGTGAGAGGGTGGGGGAGTGGGGTGAGAGGGAAGGGACAGTGGGGTGAGAGGGAAGGGACAGTGGGGTGAGAGGGAAGGGACAGTGGGGTGAGAGGGAAGGGACAGTGGGGTGAGAGGGAAGGGACAGTGGGGTGAGAGGGAAGGGACAGTGGGGGGAGAGGGAAGGGACAGTGGGGGGAGAGGGAAGGGACAGTGGGGGGAGAGGGAAGGGACAGTGGGGTGAGAGGGAAGGGACAGTGGGGGGAGAGGGAAGGGACAGTGGGGTGAGAGGGAAGGGACAGTGGGGTGAGAGGGAAGGGACAGTGGGGTGAGAGGGAAGGGACAGTGGGGTGAGAAGAAAGGAACAGTAGAAGAGGCGATTTAAGATCATCAGTACTTGAAATAAGTAACAAAAGCACCCAACTCTTCCAACCAAGCTACACATCTTGAGATTCCCAAAGTGACCCAAGATGGTGGCGGCGTCTTAACCCTCGTCTTCAGCACAGATGCCAGAGATTGAATTACTCCTTCACGCCGATTTTTAACCGACACGTCGACACTCGCCGGTTTGTCGCACCGCTGAACCGACACCCGATCGCATAACACCGACACACATCTCTCTATGAAGGAAATTTATACACAGCATCTTGGGTCGACAAGCAAAAGAAGCGATCTGATGTCGAAGATTTTGAATAACCAAGAAGACCTCCTCGAGGACCGGGCCGCGGGGACGCTGAGCCCCGATATCATCGCACGGTGATCCCCAGTAAAACAAGGGCTTCACTAGGGACTACGAGGGCTTCACTAGGGACTACGAGGGCTTCACTAGGGACTACGAGTTCTTCACTAGGGACTACAAGGGCTTCACTAGGGACTACGAGGGCTTCACTAGGGACTACAAGGGCTTCACTAGGGACTACAAGGGCTTCACTAGGGACTACGAGTTCTTCACTAGGGACTACGAGTTCTTCACTAGGGACTACAAGGGCTTCACTAGGGACTACGAGGGCTTCACTAGGGACTACAAGGGCTTCACTAGGGACTACAAGGGCTTCACTAGGGACTACGAGTTCTTCACTAGGGACTACGAGTTCTTCACTAGGGACTACGAGGGCTTCACTAGGGACTACAAGGGCTTCACTAGGGACTACGAGTTCTTCACTAGGGACTACGAGTTCTTCACTAGGGACTACAAGGGCTTCACTAAGGACTACGAGGGCTTCACTAGGGACTACAAGGGCTTCACTAGGGACTACAAGGGCTTCACTAGGGACTACGAGTTCTTCACTAGGGACTACAAGGGCTTCACTAAGGACTACGAGGGCTTCACTAAGGACTACAAGGGCTTCACTAGGGACTACAAGGGCTTCACTAGGGACTACGAGTTCTTCACTAGGGACTACAAGGGCTTCACTAAGGACTACGAGGGCTTCACTAGGGACTACAAGGGCTTCACTAGGGACTACAAGGGCTTCACTAGGGACTACGAGTTCTTCACTAGGGACTACAAGGGCTTCACTAAGGACTACGAGGGCTTCACTAGGGACTACAAGGGCTTCACTAGGGACTACAAGGGCTTCACTAGGGACTACGAGTTCTTCACTAGGGACTACAAGGGCTTCACTAAGGACTACGAGGGCTTCACTAGGGACTACAAGGGCTTCACTAGGGACTACAAGGGCTTCACTAGGGACTACAAGGGCCTCACTAGGGACTACAAGGGCTTCACTAGGGACTACAAGGGCTTCACTAGGAACTACGAGGGCTTCACTAGGGACTACAAGGGCTTCACTAGGGACTACAAGGGCTTCACTAGGGACTACAAGGGCTTCACTAGGGACTACAAGGGCTTCACTAGGGACTACAAGGGCTTCACTAGGGACTACAAGGGCTTCACTAGGGACTACGAGGTGTTCTGTGAAAGTAGTCAACATAGTGAAGGGGACTAGACGAACTATCTCTCACAAATCTTACGAATTATTTTCCATTTAAGGGCAAATCTTTCGTTTAAGGGCAATCCTCTCATTAAGGGATTATCTTCCATTTAAGGGGTCAAATCTTCCCCATAAGTAATAGTCTTTCCATTAAGGGATTGAGTATTTTGCCCTTTAGAATAATTATCCGTTACGGGATAAACTTCAATTTTTGGTATTACTTTCATTTTAAGGGTTTAAAGTTTCCTTAGAGGAAAGTAGTGACTTTTGGTGTCGGTTTAAACCATGCAACGCAGGCATTCCTCCCAGAGACCAGACGACACAGCCGCCCCCCAGAGACCAGACGACACAGCCGCCCCCAGAGACCAGACGACACAGCCGCCCCCAGAGACCAGACGACACAGCCGCCCCCAGAGACCAGACGACACAGCCGCCCCCAGAGACCAGACGACACAGCCGCCCCCAGAGACCAGACGACACAGCCGCCCCCAGAGACCAGACGACACAGCCGCCCCCAGAGACCAGACGACACAGCCGCCCCCAGAGACCAGACGACACAGCCGCCCCCAGAGACCAGACGACACAGCCGCCCCCAGAGACCAGACGACACAGCCGCCCCCAGAGACCAGACGACACAGCCGCCCCCAGAGACCAGACGACACAGCCGCCCCCCAGGAGACCAGACGACACAGCCGCCCCCAGAGACCAGACGACACAGCCGCCCCCAGAGACCAGACGACACAGCCGCCCCCAGAGACCAGACGACACAGCCGCCCCCAGAGACCAGACGACACAGCCGCCCCCAGAGACCAGACGACACAGCCGCCCCCAGAGACCAGACGACACAGCCACCCCCCAGGAGACCAGACGACACAGCCGCCCCCCAGAGACCAGACGACACAGCCACCCCCCAGGAGACCAGACGACACAGCCGCCCCCCAGAGACCAGACGACACAGCCGCCCCCAGAGACCAGACGACACAGCCACCCCCAGGAGACCAGACGACACAGCCGCCCCCAGGAGACCAGACGACACAGCCGCCCCCCAGGAGACCAGACGACACAGCCGCCCCCAGAGACCAGACGACACAGCCGCCCCCAGAGACCAGACGACACAGCCGCCCCCCAGGAGACCAGACGACACAGCCGCCCCCAGAGACCAGACGACACAGCCGCCCCCAGAGACCAGACGACACAGCCGCCCCCCAGGAGACCAGACGACACAGCCACCCCCAGGAGACCAGACGACAAAGCCACCCCCAGGAGACCAGACGACAAAGCCACCCCCAGGAGACCAGACATCCTACTCATAATACAATAAAGTGAGTCCAATAAAAGTAAGTACTCACATGTGTCGTGGGTGAAGAGGATGGACTTGGCCTCGGCCACGGAGCAGAGCGGCTCGTCCTGCTCCAGCAGCTTGGTCAGCAGCATGTCGCAGATGCCCTCGAGGGACGTCTCCCCGACGTCCAGCACCAGCGTCGCCTGCGACAGGAAGTGCGCGATGTCCATCGTCGCCCGGACCTCGGAGCCGAAGTCCTTCATGGGCACTTTCTGCAAGGTGCAAGCGAGGAGCTGAGTGAACGACTCGCTCACCGTCAGGAGGTAGTGGTCGTTCAGGAGGTCGTGAGGGGGGAGGAGAGGGGCGGTGGAGGATGAGGTTGTCATGGTGGAGGTCGTGACGACGGAGGAGGTCGTGGCGGCGGTCGTCGAGGTGGATTGGGTCGCCCCGTGGCTGTTAGGGAGGGCCGAGGCGGCGGCGGCCCCCATGTGGGTCATCTCCACCTGCACCGACGGAGCTGCTGCTGGTCCCCGTCGGGGCAGGACGCCAGCCGACGGCGGCAGCTCGTTACTGCCGTGTCGGCTGCCCGGGGCCGACGCGTTGCTCTGCCACGACCCGTACAGCGTCGCGTACGGCTGCGTCAGCGAGCACCGACGCGTCGTGACGGACGCCGCCGCCGCCTCGCTCGTCAGCGGCTTCCTCTTTATAGCGTGCGGCGGGATGACCGGGATCATCTCCGACAACCCGGATATGTCGGTGTGACAGGAGCTCCGCCGCTTGCGGCGCGCATCCTGGTGCGGCAGGTGCGGCACCGAAGTGGAAGGAATAGAGTGCGATCTCGAGTTGTTGCTCCCCGACGACCTCTCCAGCTCCTCCGGCTCTTCCCGAACTGTGTGCCAGTCGTCGGGCAAGTCGGGGAAGCCGCCGAGTCGTTCGTCCCGACCGCGAAAGAGCCCCAAGACGGCGGCGAGGGAGTGCTGTCGGATGAGGCGGTGAGGGGGCGGTGCCCTCGGGCTCCGGGAGTGCCCGGGGCCACTCTTCCCGCCAGTGCCCAGGAACTTGGTCATGGCGCCGCCGGTGCCGGGCTGGGGGAGCGAGACTGGCGCCTGGCCCGTCTTTGTCTGACACGCTTTACCGCCGACCTTGGCTGGGGAGTTGCGCTCTCGCCCCAGCAGAGGGCTGTAGGGGCTCGAACCCCGCGTCGGGGACCCGATGATCGGGGACCTGTGTCCTCCCCCGGGGCTAGAGGGCGGCGGGGGCAGCTGGGGAGGCAGGGACGCCCCTGGTGTGCCCCTGTCGGGGAGTTGCGGCGACCTGGGGGACACGCAGCTGATTGTCAAATTTATGTGGGGTAGTGGGGAGGCCCTGGGGGACACGTGTGTAGCAGGTGTGGCCCTTTCCGGTAGTGGGGAGGCCCTGGGGGACACGTGTGTAGCAGGTGTGGCCCTTTCCGGTAGTGGGGAGGCCCTGGGGGACACGTGTGTAGCAGGTGTGGCCCTTTCCGGTAGTGGGGAGGCCCTAGGGGACACGTGTGTTGCAGGTGTGGCCCTTTCCGGTAGTGGGGAGGCCCTGGGGGACACGTGTTTAGCAGGTGTGGCCCTTTCCGGTAGTGGGGAGGCCCTGGGGGACACGTGTGTAGCAGGTGTGGCCCTTTCCGGTAGTGGGGAGGCCCTGGGGGACACGTGTGTAGCAGGTGTGGCCCTTTCCGGTAGTGGGGAGGCCCTGGGGGACACGTGTGTAGCAGGTGTGGCCCTTTCCGGTAGTGGGGAGGCCCTGGGGGACACGTGTGTAGCAGGTGTGGCCCTTTCCGGTAGTGGGGAGGCCCTGGGGGACACGTGTGTAGCAGGTGTGGCCCTTTCCGGTAGTGGGGAGGCCCTGGGGGACACGTGTGTAGCAGGTGTGGCCCTTTCCGGTAGTGGGGAGGCCCTGGGGGACACGTGTGTAGCAGGTGTGGCCCTTTCCGGTAGTGGGGAGGCCCTGGAGGACACGTGTGTAGCAGGTGTGGCCCTTTCCGGTAATGGGGAGGCCCTGGGGGACACTTGTGTAGCAGGTGTAGCCCTTTCCGGTAGTGGGGAGGCCCTAGTGGACACGTGTGTAGCAGGTGTGGCCCTTTCCGGTAGTGGGGAGGCCCTGGAGGACACGTGTGTAGCAGGTGTAGCCCTTTCCGGTAATGGGGAGGCCCTAGGGGACACGTGTGTAGCAGGTGTGGCCCTTTCCGGTAGTGGGGAGGCCCTGGAGGACACGTGTGTAGCAGGTGTGGCCCTTTCCGGTAGTGGGGAGGCCCTGGAGGACACGTGTATAGCAGGTGTGGCCCTTTCCGGTAGAGGGGAGGCCCTGGGGGAGACGTGGGAGGCAGGTGTGCTCCTCTGGGGACGTGGCGACGACGTGGGGGAGCGACTACGTGGCTGAGAGGAAGCTGAAGTCAGATTTGGCAGGGCAGGAGGCCCGGTCTCCTGAGACAGCACTGTCCGGGGAGTGTCTTGGGACCTACGAGCGATACTGTTACTGTTGGCTCGCTTTGGGTCGGGGTTAGACATAGTGTTGTTGTCTGGGGGTGTAGGCTGCGGCTGCGGCACGACACGGACGCCTGTCTTGTCTGGGGGTGCAGGCTGCGGCACGACGCTTTCTGGGGGTGTAGGCTGCGGCGGCGGCGGCACGACACGGACGCCTGTCTTGTCTGGGGGTGCAGGCTGCGGCACGACGCTTTTCTTGACGCCTGTGTCGGGTGGTGTAGGCTGCGACACGACGCTTTCCACGAGGACGCCACTCGGCAACATCACTGTCGCACACTACCCACGCCGTCCTCATCGCCCGTCCGCGACTCGCAACATCCTTCTCGCGTCGCACTCACCACCACACTGACCCATCGCACCCCTCCTCTCGCGCACCCGGCTCTCGCGCACGCACCTCTCACACACTCCTGCACGCACTTCCCGCAACCCATTCAACCTCGCTTCCATCAAACCAGTCACATCACCTAACTCGAACCAAGGCGGCTGTGTGACTTGCATTCGAGCCTAAGCACACACACCTAATTATAGAACCCCTGACTTCATCACCAGATGGACCAAGAACGCTCGCATTAACCACATAATCTACACACACCTGCCGCCAGTGATTGATGTACACACACACACACACACACACCTGCTGTCATCGTTATACGAGCCGTTTTCACCAATAAATCTATCCAGCTATCAAATCAGCAAGTCTATCGACCGCGTTGATCTCTTCTCGCATCACCTCGTTCGTTGGATAGATAACGCTATTAACGAGCTCTAATAATCCTTCATTACAAACAATGTATCTATAGCCTGTCCCCTGAAGACACTTTAGCAGCATCCACTCGTGCTTATACTCGAGATTCTTTTGAGTGCGATCACAACACACTTTCCGGTCGTGGTTTCTATAGACGCTATTTGTACTGTGAATTTGGTAACGATTCGTGACGACCAAAAAATAAATAACAGCTCATTTAGCTCATTGATTGATGCTTGATTTGGGTGATAAAACTCATCAGTTCATTCCATTGCAGTATGGCGCATTAGTTCCTAGTCTAATGACAGTCACTACGCAATCAAACACATTGAGTTATTCCTGGTTATATAATCTTCCTGGTTCACTTCCTTCCACGAGATTATATATATATATATATATATATATATATATATATATATATATATATATATATATATATATATATATATATATATATATATATATATATAATCTCGTGTTGAATGGACTGATAGCTTACCACCCACACAACACTAAAACAGGCTTCAAAAATCAATGTATCTTTTGATTTGGCATCACCACCAGATAGAAGAATACAGGAAGGAACATCGCACCTTATCCTCCTGAATATTTCACGAAACCTCATTTCTAGTGACAGTTCTAGTGAACTCTTAGTTTCTAGTGATTGACTGTTGACGGTGGGAAGGCTGGGCGTGACCTCTAACTTCCGCTAACTTCCTCTCTCCCTCACGACGACATGAGGCATGGAACAGGAGATTAGAATGAGATGAAAAATGAGTGAACAGGGTAAGAATAAGATGAAGCAAGGAGGCAATAAGAATGATACATTACACAACAACAGTTAAACTTTATAAACATGTGTAGCACAAAATAATAATCCTTAGTGGCATCATTATATTAATACAACTAAAGAATACATTTTTATAAACCAAAAAAAAAGAGAGGTTATTTCAAGAACACGGAATCTGAGGACTTCCTTAACACAAGAATATTGGTTGTGGTTGAAGGGGGAAAGGGGGGGGGGGAGGGGGAAGGATTGGGAGGGATTGGGGAGGGAACTATCAAGAGAAAGCGCCAAGCCATTACGACTATATAGCACTTGGAAGGGGGATCAGGATAAGGATTTGGGATGGGACAGTGGGAAAAGGAATGGTGCCCAACCACTTGTGGACGGTCGGGGATTGAACGCTGACCTGGATGAAGCGAGACCGTCGCTCTACCGTCCAGCCCAAGTGGTGGGAGTGGCTTGTGGGGGGGGGAGGGGTTTGACAGTTGTGTCTATATGTTAAGTCGATGTTTCTTCTCGTAAATACAAGCCGTCTTCAGGGAGGAGATCCGCTTAATGGAATGGATTAAGAACGAATACACAATGTCTGCTATTATCTACTTTGTATCCATGATTAGGTTAGATTAAGGCTACTTTAGGTTAAGGTTAGGTTTCATGACGTTTGGTTACCTTAATGCAGTGTGTTATTGACGATAATGTGAAATATGGAATTCAAAAACTATTTCAGTGTGCCCTTGAATTCTGTTTTCAGAAAACCAAATTCTTCAAAAGAAACCTTTTTCCATTATACACTTTTTCTTGTAATATGACTATACATAAAGAGTATATAAAGATATATAAAGATGACTATATAAATTGTTAGTTTAAAATGTAGAGTTATAACGTGAGAATAATCTGTTTACGACAAAGGTTCACTTCCTGGTTTACCTGTAAACTATTATTGGAACGGTAAAATGCTTTCGGACAATCAGAAATGTCTAGATAACTATTCAGGTGGTTTGGTGGTTTGAGAACGGTGTATTCAACTAGTTGTATTAACCTAGTTGTGCTTGCAGGGGGGTTGAGCTCTGGCTCTGTCGGTCCGCCTGGGTGAGTACACACGACGGGTGGAGGAGACAGAGCGGGCAGTTTACCTAGGGCAAAAAGGTCGTTTGGTCTGGAATCATCATCACGACGATTCTTGTTTGCCTGAGACCAAGCAGGCGTATAGCAATGGATGAGAACACGGGATATGATGATATAGCACCTTGAGGCCATGATGAATACGGCGCAGTATGAGTTGATGGGTAGATGAGACCGCAGCAACACATGTCTTGGTAGAGGGAGTCAACCAATACCATCAGGGTACACTTAATGTGTTTACACCCTGGTGTGAATGGTAGGGTAAACAGCACAATAACTAACTTTGACCAGATGAGCGGGAATTGAAAACCATTCGAGGTCAGGTTTGAAGTGCTTAACTGCCAGTGAACGCGAAGATTCCAGGGACAGATCCCCCAGGGGGGGGGACAGAATCACCAAGGGGAGATAGAACCCGTGCGTTCCACTAGCTAACAGACCGCCAACCAGTCCTCAGGCTAGGCTCGTTAAAGCGGCAGGCCCTACCCTAAAATGGCAATTGCAAAATTTTGTACCTATTGTGTACTCAAAATATATATATTTCCCCTCCCTCATGATAGAACATTTCTTTACCTTCAAGGACCACTTGAGTGGCACTTAACAACGTCACTTAGGTGGCCTAAGTTACTGGAAACAGTTTCCCCAACTTTCAAGACCTGTTTAGACCGTTAAAGCTGGTCTGGATCCAGCTGTACTCTCTTTTCAGACCTTCGTACAGTCCTGGAGCTGGCAGCTGCCAGCTTGAACCAGCTGCCAGCTGGCAGCTAGCAGCTGCTCCTCCCCTGGAACTCTGCTGCCGAAACTTGAGGTCTGAACGTCCCTGTCGTACATGGAGCCAGTTGGTCTGACAGTGTGTAGTGATGGGCTCAGCTGCACGTCTGCGGTGACTGCGTCGATAATTTTCAATGTATCCGTATACATACAGTCGTATACATAGGACTGTGGTCGTCCACAGAGCGACTGGCTGCGGCGGTCACGTGATCACTCAGGCCGACCAACCCCGCAGCGCACAATAACGACACGCGAAGGTACTCTTCGGGGGCCCTTGATGGCTCGTATCACCGGAGGTATTATTCGGCAGCGTTGGTAAGACTGGCGAGGTTTGCAGACAACAACAACAACAACAGCTGAAGCTCTAATCCCAGACCTCTTGACCAATAGCAGCCGTGGACAGGGCACCACAGCAACCGTGGACAGGGCACCACAGCACACCCATACAATCACTATGATAGATAAATTATAGGATTGACATACAATCGGGAGGAATAGACAATCCTACCATAAAAAAAATCCCATTAGCTTTTTACATTTAATCCAATAAAGAATCCAGGTTCGTTTCCCGTTTTCTTCCGTTGTAGCTCCAACAATTATCTTGGGTTAAACTTTAAGAGTTGAGACCCACCTGTCAATCCATTCAATTCTCGAGTGACCGTCTCACTCACTGACGTCACTTGACTGGCCAATCCTCGGGATTTACAGCGAGAGTAAGCTGTAATCCTGCAGGATTTCCCTGCATCAATTCCTCCCCGGGGGGGATTTTTACTCAGGGTGCAAATGGGATTATTAAATTCCGGCACTAAATCTTTTCATATTGTCTTTCTTGCTAAGCTACAGTCACTAGTACTGATGACACCGGCTGTCATCTGAGTGGCTCCTCTTTGTCACTCAGATGACAGTCTGTGTCTCCCCCTAGCCATTCAGATGACAGCCTGCGCCTCAGCCCTACCGACTCAGCGACCAATGGGGAATCATTTTCTCTTAGAACTCCTTTGGGAAATCCTGTAATCGCCTGAACGGGCTGCATGAGAACCTACTTAGGTGGGAGCCTGGGATTAATCCCCATAGCCAAGGGGGAATCATTAGCAGCCAAAAGACTTTAAGATAGGGAAATACTGGATTTCCGACCGCTGATTGGTTCCTCGCGGCTGTCGAAGAAACTGACCGCTGATTGGTCCCGCATCGATAACTGTCGCGCTGCTCAACGCTTATTGGACGTTGTTCAGGGGAGAGATCTGGGCGCAATAAGGCGATTGGGCAGCGCTGAAGCTCCCCACCCCAATCACTCTAATCTGATGGGGGTGGGGGGCAGATTTGGAGTTCCGGTTCTCTCAAGGATGCTTCCTCATTTACATGGAGATACTCATGAGTACATATCCACGAGTGGTCACTCCTCAATACTCTATCATCCTCCACCTTACCCAAGCGCCTCCCTCATACCCCCCCCCCCACCCCCCATCATCCAGACGCCCCTCTCCCCCACCCCCATCATCCAGACGCCCCCCCATGCCCCTCCACCGTACACGGTGTCATCCAGTGAGTTAGTGGAGGCGATGGCTGGCCTCCCACGCCTCCTCCAGCACTCCACCTTTAAGAGCAAGTTCCAGAGGTTCCTACACCAATGGAAGCAAGACTGGAGGTTCCTACACCAATGGAAGCAAGACTGGAGGCTCCTACACCAATGGAAGCAAGACTGGAGGTTCCTACACCAATGGAAGCAAGACTGGAGGCTCCTACACCAATGGAAGCAAGACTGGAGGCTCCTACACCAATGGAAGCAAGACTGGAGGCTCCTACACCAATGGAAGCAAGACTGGAGGCTCCTACACCAATGCAAGCAAGACTGGAGGCTCCTACACCAATGCAAGCAAGACTGGAGGCTCCTACACCAATGGAAGCAAGACTGGAGGCTCCTACACCAATGCAAGCAAGACTGGAGGCTCCTACACCAATGCAAGCAAGACTGGAGGCTCCTACACCAATGCAAGCAAGACTGGAGGCTCCTACACCAATGCAAGCAAGACTGGAGGCTCCTACACCAATGGAAGCAAGACTGGAGGCTCCTACACCAATGCAAGCAAGACTGGAGGCTCCTACACCAATGCAAGCAAGACTGGAGGCTCCTACACCAATGCAAGCAAGACTGGAGGCTCCTACACCAATGCAAGCAAGACTGGAGGCTCCTACACCTTGTATGATGTAGTAGCCTCCAGTTGTGGATTGTATGATGGAGGAATCATAGTGTCAAGGGTCGTACAGTGCTTGAACGAGAGACCCAGTTCGCAGCAATTGGGTCAAAATTGCCTCGTTTGGGGGAGGCGGCCCCCCCCCTCTAGCTGTTAACATGCCACG